CTGGACGAATAAGATGGATGGCTTTGACCGTTTGTGCGCATGACTCTCAACGACGCCCGTTGATTTTCCCTTTCTCCAACGGTCTCAAAACGAGGGCATAGGGCATAGGGCACAGGAGAAGAGCAACAAGTGAAGAAGTAAGAAAACCCATGAGAGGTAGAGACAACAAACGTCATGCAAGAAGAGATTGACATGGGGCGGCCCAAACGTGGGCTATCTCAAGTCGATAGCCAAGCGGGAACCCCTCCTTTAGCCAGGGAGCTTTTCCATCGGGTCCAGTTCGAATGCAAATCCAGACCCTCGATTCGAAGCCATCTTTGGTCTGGATGCAGGCTTGGTATAGCTGCAGCTCCAGCTAGAAAATGCAGCTCAGGATTTATCGACAGCCAACCGGCGAAGTTCGGCAAGCTCTTGTGGCAACAACGGTTCCATTATTTCAGGACTGTCCAGCAGGAAAAACGGTGGAGATCCCTACGTCCGTATTACATGTTGATGTGGACGGCACTTCCTTGGAATTGTCTTTGAAAATGCAACGTTGGTATTGCTTGGTTGTCAAAGGGACATCCGGAATCATCCTCCCTCATGTCTCGGTCTCGGCCAGTAGAACAGCCGTCTTTGATTCAGGTTCCTTTCTCGAGAGCCTGAAGCTGACTTGGCTGTCGCAAGGGACCTTCTCTTCAGTGAGAGAACGTAACCCGAGCATCCAGGTCCCCCCTCGATGCAGGCCGCGCACGGTTTCATCAACCGGAAGCCTAAAAGCTTAGTACACCAGCTCCAAGAGGCTAGACCGCCTCACTTTGTTGGTTGCTAAGCTCTTCAAGAAGAGATGGACTGTCGCAGCAAGTCTGCTGCTTTCTCATTGCGCGGCGTTATTGAGCATTCAAAGTGCTCTGGGTGGCTTTGTTTGACATCAGATCAGCGGATTCCCCCTGAAGAATATGGGTCTTGGCACTCACCAGGTACCGCCATTAGTGAACACCACTTCTGGCTCGATAACTTGGCCGTCTCGCCCGACCTTCTTGCCAATGTTGAGAGTGGCTAGCATCGTGGCCGCAGCTATCCAGACGCTGTTGTCTGCCAGAAAGCGGCCAACACAAACTCGACGACCGAATCCAAATTGCCCAAGGGGCAAGGGCTCACCATGGCCGCCAGCAGAGGGCGGCTTGTATCGGTCTGGATTAAAAGACTTGGGGTCCCGGTATATCCTCTCGTCTTGAGTCATGGCGCGGGAGTTTGCGAAAATAATGGACCTGGGGAAAGCAGTTGGCATTTTCATTCTAGAAGCATGCAGCTTCCTTTCGGGCCGCGGAGGTTGGTGGTGGTGAAGAGGGGCAGAGAACCTACCCCTTAGGGATGAACATGCCGTTGTAGACATCGTTTTCAAGGGACTTGTGGGGAATCCCTAACGGTGCCAACGGAGACCATCTGTGTTTCTTCTTCAACAACCATCCCACGTGCTCCTGAGTCGAACTGGTCTGACATACCTGTACACCTCCTGGACAATGTGGTCAATGTATTGGAGGGATGGTCTGTCGGATAAGGTCGGAAGTCTCTCCTGCCCGACGACCCGGTCGATTAATGCCTGAGCTTTCTGCTGAATCTCAGGATGGAGGACCATGTTCAGCACAAAGACAACAATGGTAGCCCAGGTCTGAAGCTCATGTCAGCGTTGCGTCTTACTCGGTCTGAGTATCATCGTCGGTGCGCTCAGTTACCGTGTCTGCCCCTGCGATGAAGATGGCGCCCGCTGCCCCCTTGATATCGTCAAGTGACCACTCGTTGTCCAGACCGTTCTTGGCGTTGGAATTATACGTTTCCAACAACGTGTGCGCAAAGGACGGGTTCTCCTTGCCTCGAGCCTTGACTTGTCAGCGCTTTGCGGGCGTCGACGTGACAAGCCGAAGGGCACACTTACCACCTCGTCTTGAGCAACGGCGAATGGAACGTTGTGCAATTTCTGGATAGCCCAGCCCCATTCTCGCGCAAATTTCAGCGACCAGTCTCTAGCCAGCCAGTTGGGTAGATGGCGAGCTGCGGCGAGCATTACTGTCAGTGCTGGGTTTGGGAATATCCAGCACTCCGGGACGTACCGGGAGGGAAAACATCTACGATGCTGTTGGCGGGTGCACCGCCGTTGCCAGTTGCGTACATGGCATCGTCGGCGATCTTTACATACGGGTCGTTGTCATCTCGGACATCAACTCCGTAACTTACTTTGAGGACAATGGCGACGGCGAACCTGGTAAATGTCAGCCGACGGCGTTGAGGGTTCAGGGCCGTTTGGGCGCTGCCACTGCTTACCTCTTCATTGAAACCTCCCAGTTGTCTGGGTCCTTTATGATGCTGTGGACGGACTTGCGGGCCTCTGTGACCTGCAATTGGTACCACTGCCGCACGTTTGTGTTACTGAAAGTGGTCTGCAGCAGCTTGCGGTGCATCTGCCAGCGGGGCCCGAAGGGGAGGAAGGTCAGCGTCTTCCCCCAGCCCATGCTGGCAAGCGGGTAATTTGCTTCAGCATGACGACAGGACACGTCCGGACGGAGTTCGGGGTAACTTACACCTCAAAGAGGGTGAATCTGGGCCTGTCGCAGTAGTTGGCCCCCCTCCGGTCGAGAAGATCCCTGGCAGCATCGACGCTGTTGAGCACAATAATGGGCTGTCCGAGGGATTTGACATAGATGACATCTGACTCTGAAGATGTGTCAGTCATAACGATGCCTTGGTGACGGCGCCGGAGGGATGATACTGACTGTACTTCTTGGCCCATTCGGCATACGTCTCGGCGGTTCTCTCTTTGGGAATAACACGCAGATGACCAAGGAGAAATTCACCCGGCGGGCCAGGGGGTAGGGGCGGGTGGCCCCATGAGGATGACCGCGGCCTGACAAGATAGAGGAAGAGGACAACGGCCAGACAGGCGGCAGTCGTCGTCCAGGCCGAGCTGTTTTGATCGATGTCCATCGTCTCACGGACGTTTATGTAAGAGAGAAATCGTATGCGGTTTCAGTCGAAGTCTTGGGGGATCGAGATGCAATTCCGGAAACGACTCAAGATTGGGAACTTGTAAGAGCAGAGGCCGGCTTAGTGGAAAAGGATTACGAAGAAACAAAAAAGGTCATGATGGATAAAGATAACCCGGCGCTAAGAGAATGGAAAGCACGAAGGGGAGACTGGTCTGAGTTGTCAACGAGTAGGAGGCAGGAGGCTCAAGCAGGACACGGCCCTTCCCTTCTTCGTCGGCCGGTGCATGACGGCGCAGTACGGCAAGGCAAGTGAGGCAGGTAAGGAAGGACGGGAAGGTACCTTCCTCAGCGGAAAGGAGCGTTGGGCACCTCTGCTTGGGTAACGTAGGCCAGGTCTACTGTGCAGCTCTTGCGTCTCCGGTAGTCTTTCTCCAGGGCCATTTCTTCTGCCTTCAAAATATTTTCTGCTCCCCTCCACTAGAGCATTTCACCAAGTCATTCATCCCAACTAAAATCCAACTCCCGTGGAGCCTTACGCACACATAACCTCACACACCAACAAGGACCCTGACCCATAGCTGCTAACACCCCGATGCAGCGTGGCGTGGCGTGGCATGGCATGGCATGGCAGAGCAGGATAGGGCGGCGTCGACAGCAGCCAGCAGCAGTGGCAGAAGCAAGAGCAGCAAGAGCAGCAGCCAAGAGGCAACAAGAAACCGAGTCTAAGTCGCAAGCCGTCTGCACGCCCAAAGTCTAAACGGTCGTGGTGTCGTTCATTTCCACGTGTTGGCCGAAACGAAACATGGAAACGGTCGGCTGTCCCCGGCTACCGGGCCGGTAGCGGCAGGAAAATCGAGTCCGTCGCGCTGGGTCGAGATGTACGAACGGCTGCACTCGCAAGAAGCAACTTGTCAACCATTTCAGACTCGGACAAGACAGAAGAATTTTGGAGGGTCTGGTCCAAGGTCTGGATCCTCAAGTCTATCTCAGATCCATCCCGCCTGGGCAGATGAACGGCACTGGATGGGGGCAAGGCAAAGAGACCAGGCCAGACCCTTTCGACGTCAGCACGTCAGGTCCCGTGCCGTCGAGTGCAACACCCGATCGGATTCAAACCATGGACGACGGTAAGGGGGTCGGATGCGCTTACAGTAACCTTCAGGGTGGGCTCCGTTCTTCGGCTCGGCTCTTTTAGCAGGACAGGGCCCCTTAAACTCGAGGTAAAAGTATGGACCTAGCCCTCGCGGGCAGTGGTTGATGTCCAAGCTAATGACGCTTACTTGGTATTTTGCAGTCTTGCATTGCAGTCTGATGCTTCAAAACATTGAAACCGAACGATCAAGAACCAACAGGAAGGCCGCTCCTATCTACGATCTAACTAAGCCAGCCCCCTGTCCATCTCCCCCTCCTAAGATGGCGAGTTTTTCCATGCCAACACCACGACACGAAATAAAGCGGTGGATCCCTCCTTTCCCTGCTTTGGCGTTCGAATTCTTCACAGCGTTTTTATTTTCTGTGGATATTCTAGACGTTCTACAGCAGCGCTAAAGTCGCCCTAAGCTGCAGGGCGTCCCAGCCCCGAGGACCATTCGCCAATCCTTCAGGGGAGGCCCACCCAACATGCCCTTCACCCTCGGTGCTCCTCCACCCACGGTGCCATCTTCCAACTGCGAACCTGGCAGCCATCAGCCAGCTGCCCCGCCAAGTGCATCATCATCCCACCCTCCCTCTCGGCGGGGTCCCCTCACCGCACTGCACCGCAGTGTTCTCCACGTTCCGTCGGCTGGGAAAACTTCGAAATCCTCTGCTAAAACATTCGCCTACCATTATCTGTCACTCCCGCAGTTATCCGAGCTGCACTCTCTCGCTCGGAACCACGATTGTCTTCACTGCGTCGAAAGACCCGACTGACGACGAGACGTGTCCAATAAAGAACCTGTCAAGTCCATCGTGCCAACGATTACACCTGAAGAGAAGTAAAACGGCGCGCATACGAAACACCATCTGCGTCGACACTCACGCGCCTCACTACCCAAAATGGCTCCTCAAATCACCGTCCTCGGCTCCCTCAACATCGACCTGACGTCTTACGTCCCTCACCACCCCCTGCCAGGCGAGACCCTGACGTCGAACTCGGTCGTCATCTCCCCCGGTGGCAAGGGCGCAAACCAAGCCGTCGCCTGTGCGAAGCTCTCCCGGTCCCGTGAGTCTCCGAACGATGCCGCCTCTGAATCCGCCTCCGTCTCCATGATCGGCGCCGTCGGCTCCGACTCGTACGGCTCTCTCCTCCTGAAGCACCTCGGCGAGTACGGCGTCCGCACCGACCGCATCACTGTCGGCGACGACCTCAAGACCGGCATGGCCATCATCGTTGTCGACGAGCCCACCGGACAGAACCGCATCATCCTCGCCCCGGAAGCCAACTACGCCGTCACCGCCGACAAGTTCGGCTCCCTTCCCCAGACCCTCGAGCCCAAGCCCGACCTGCTAGTCATGCAGCTCGAGGTTCCCCTCGACACCGTCCTGACCGCCCTGCGCTCCGCAAAGGCCGCCTCCGTACCCGTCCTCCTGAACCCCGCCCCCGCCCAGCGCCTCCCCGAGGAGGCCTACGACGGACTCGCCCACCTCGTCGTCAACGAGACCGAGGCCGCAATCCTCTCCGGCTGCCAGGAGTCCGACCTCGACACCCCCGAGGGGCTGAAGCGCGTCGGCGAGTGGTTCATCGCCAAGAAGGTCCAAAACGTCGTCATCACCCTTGGCGGCCGGGGCGTCTACTACGTCAACAAGGAGGGCGCCGCCGAGCTCATCCCCGCGGAGAAGGCCAAGGTCGTCGACACCACGGCCGCCGGCGACACCTTTGTCGGCGCCTACTGCGTTGCTGCCGTCGCTGCGCAGGCCAAGGGCGAGACCTTTGACATTGCTCAGAGCATCCGCAGGGCCAACCACGCGGCGGCCAAGACCGTCGAGCGTAAGGGTGCCCAGACCTCTATTCCGTGGAGGGATGAGCTTCAGCAGTAGATGCTTGTCAATTCGTAAAAGCAAAATACCCCTAAAAACACCAAAAAGTCAATCGAAGAAAAAAAGTTGAAAGGTTACTACACGGTCTGTAAATGCGTTCAAAGTGTGCCCACCTCGAGACCTTGTCCAAGGTAAATTTTGCATTTTCGCCCTCACCCTTACTCTATTGTTAGCTATACTAGGCTGAGGGTGTGCGTCCTGCCATAAAGTTTGATGTAATAGGCCAGCCACTTCGTTGCGAGCAAGAGCATAAAGCGTAGGAAACACATGTGAAGTCCGGCTGTAAGTCAGAGACGAAACACCGATGTTGAATTATGAAGCGTTTAGAAACGCGATGGACTACTGCGTCTACGTAAAACTGCAAAGAAAAGCAAACAATCCATACTCCTACCACCAACTGGTCCAACCCCAACGGCTGGTTTGCTTCCCGCGCTGCCCACGGAATGAGCCTCTCAGGCTCCGGCTCTCAGCTGCTTGGCCGTCCGCAGTCACGTCATCAGAAGCTCCCAAGGTCCTGAGCAACCCGGCCCCCATGGAGCGCGGACTTCTCAGTATTCCCGGAGACTTGACATCCCTGTCATCGGAGGCCGAATCTTCGGGGCACGTTGCATTTGACGGGACGCGCTGTCCATCTTCCGCGCGGCTCCTCCGCCAACCTGCTACCGAGGGCTGCCGGAGCTCAGACCACCCGATGCGGGCAGCTTCCGGCTGCCTTACCGTGCCATCCTTCCCGAGACTTGATTCCCGTCTGGGCACGGTTGGTGGTGTTTGCATGGATGTAGGCGAAGTATACTCCATTCTGGGCTTGGGCTGAGATTTGGGCGGCACATCGGGGGGGGTCCGCTGCCGAACAATCCGCTCTATAACCTCTCTTCCCTTCTTGGTACCCTACGGCCAGTGCTGGTGGATGATGCCAAAGAGTGGATTTGGTGCTAGCATTGCACACGGAGACCAAAGTGATCTGTGGTTGAGGTGCTGCAGTGCGGCTGTGGCCGATGTCTCCAGCTTGGTCTTCACATCGGCAACGCCGTCAACCGTGTCAGACCTGCCGCATTTGGGGAATGCTGAGTGCTTGTATTTGACCACGATGCGGAGATACTCTACCCTCGAGCTCCCGAGCTGATCTTCAAGGTCATCGATCAACTCATCTGACCGTTGCCGGATATGACCGTTTGGCCTGAATGGGATAGGTCCCTTGGCCTCGAAGTGAACGTGCGCAAGCACAAGGACCTTCAATCCCGGAAATAACATGCTGCAATCTCGTCAGCCGTTGTCAATAAGCTTAGTTCGAAACTTTACCTGGGGGTCGGTTCGTCTTCCTGGATGATCTCAAGGATACAATTATTTCCTAGAGGGATGAGTTGGATATCCATATCGTATATGCAGCCGTATCGATCTGAGCCAAAATTAGCACCACACGGGCATCTTCCGGAGCCTCAACGTACCTCCAAGCTGACGAGGTTCGGTTCCAGGAACCGGGAATCCATCGTTGGAGACGGGGGTCATTGGAAGAAACGTGCCATCGGGCGGCTGGCACAGCTCTGCCGACACTTCGACAGCAATCCACATAGCCCCCCTATCGCCTTCTATGGCTCTGACTGCGGGCGTCACCACAATCCGAGGCACAAGAACTGCCGGATCTCTCGTTGGCATACGGGCACTAAACGGGTCAGAAAATAAAGGACCGCAAGATGAAAGGGGTGCGATCTGGTCGTTGCCATCGTAAGATGCGCGAATCGTATCATCTCCAACCTCGTCGTCAGTGTCGGGAAAAACTATGCTTCGTTAGCGGGGTCTATGCTTTTTCAGCTGAGAAGTCTCACTCTTTGATGCTGGGAGAGGAGGGCGGTGATGACGGCTCGGTTTGAAACCAAGCTGTCCAGGTGTTTCTCTGCCATTTTGCATGCCTCTCTTCTTTATGACCACCAAAGGCCTGTCAGGGCCTTCGGGGGTACTGCTGCGGCTCTCGTCCGAGTCGCTCACGCCCCTTACACTCCCTGGTCTTCCGACCTCTCCAGTATGACGCCCGAATCTCTTGAGCACTCGGAGCGGTTGAGGTGTTGCGGTGCCGTCCGGTCTATTCTCGTCGGCGAAAAGCTCCATACCAGGCGGCTCTCTCTCGACGGGTGCCAAGCTTGCGATGGCGATTGGACGACGTCTGCGAAGTCGATGAGCTCGGTGCCAGGGTCCAATGGCGGCGTGTCGTTGTGTCCTCGAGTGCTCTCAAGGTCAGGCCAGGAGTCCGTAAGAAACCGCGAGCCAGAGCTCAGGCTGCTACTGTTGTTGCTGGAGCTGTCGTCACGGGCACGTCTCAGACCGAACTAGCGTCGAGGATTGGGCTCGCGGAGGCCGGCCGCGTCTCTGAAGTTGCGACAGACGAAGCGCGAGAGCAAAGCAAACAAGATCAGTGGAAGCGATACAGTTGCGAGAACAATCAGTACGACAAAGGCTATTGGTGATAGGCCCATAGTCGAGATGAGATACTGACGCACAATGGCTGGCGTTGGAAGATTGTTATTATTGAGGTTCTCGATGCTATGGGTGTTGGATGCGGTGGTGGAAATATCTCTCGCGAATGCGTTCAAGCAACAGCAGAGGGAAGGGGTAGAAAAGGTCATCTAGCATAGGGTTTTCATGAGACAAAAGGTGGAAGTCGCTATCATAAACCATGGAATCATTCGCCAGCAGGCACGCCTTGCATGCTGTTTCGTTCTTCGGGGGTCGCGGCGCCGCTTCCCAGCGTCCGCTGCAGGTTCTCACGGACAGAATCCACCTCGCCTTCCTCCATTGCGAGGAAGTTGATCTGCGCCTAGTTAGCAGCTGCTTCATAACTTTCCAGGTGAAGAAGACTCACCAAATCGTCACCGCCGCTGGCCGCTCCGTACAGCACCGCCTCCGAAAGGGACGCCGCGATGCCCTTCTGTACTCTGTCCTCCCACACTCCTTCCCAGTTCCACTCTCCAGGGTGCCGCGGGGTAGGCACAACGCCCGACACTGGCTTCCGCTTGATAGTGTTCGCGACGGGTGTCGCCGGCGCAGCAGGCTCGGCCTCGGGGACTGGCTGTTCAGCCTTGTCTTGGCCATCAGCCGCGGCCGTCTCTCCCTCGGCCTTCTTCTCTTCAGTTTCCCCTTCCTGCGCCTCCACTGGCCGCTTTTCAGAGTCTTCAGTGAGATTGCCCGCCTGGCGCTGACGCGTCCGCCATGCGTGCCAAGCGCCCGGGTTGCCAGCAGCCTCGAGCGGCACCGAATCAAGCACACTGTCATCATCGAACGTGCTCCTAATGTATCTCAAAACCTCGTACGTCGAAACCTCCCGTCGCGAGGTGTCGAGGTATCCCGGACGCCCTCCAATCGGCGTAGCCTTGGAACTCGGTGTCGTCGCCGCACTGCTTGATGTACCGCCTCTCGCCGGCGTTGCCGGGGGCTGCTGCTGGCCGCTGGCCTGCCTACTACCCGCCACACTTCGGCTTCCTCGTCCAAACCAAGCTGGGAATCCGTGTCGTAGACTGAAGCCGCCGGGAGGCAGGCGTTCTGCGTCAGTTGCGCTCACTGTGCCGTTGTCCTGGATATCCGTGGTGTACATGTAGGTCGTTAATGGTGTGATCAACGGATGGAACATGTCTGTCGAGAAGGTCACGAGTGGCGGCAGCCGCGGGTATGTGTCGGGAAATGATATTTGAAATCTGAGTATTGCCGTAGCGTAGGGTCCTGTATGATGGTCTCAGCATGCTGCCTGATTGTGATCTCATCATGAGTTTCCAGTACCATGCCTCACAAACATGACGCCCGACCACAGCATCGGGTCTCCCGGCGTCAAGCTCACAAATACACCCTCCGGGCAGGCCTGCTTGAGACCGGCACTGTGATCAAGCGTTAGCAGCCGCATTTGTGTCTGACCCCCTCTCCCCCGGTTTCAGGGGGCTTGGGCGTGGGTTGAGACTTGGAAGAACCTCACAATTCGGCCAGGAGATGCTGCCGCCTCAGCGACGGCATGCTGCCCATTCTTAGACTCGCCATTTTGAGGTTTGATGAGACATTCGTAAAATAGCCTCTTTTCTGATGAGATGAAATATGCCTATAATGATGTCGTTAGGATTATGAGACGGTTGTCGATGGGCTTGTTCATGCACAGCTGAGGGCGGTCAAGAAAGGCGGTGTAATATTCTGCCGCCAGTATTCTTTATCGCGATAGATAGCTTCAAGAATGTTATCTTATCAGGAAGGCGGGCAGCGCAGTGACTACCTACCCCACCTCACCTACGTAAGGGGCAAGCTACCCCGCCAAAAAATGTAGCGATGTCGGTCCCGCATTGGTGATGACACTGTGGTGGCCGTTCAGGCAGGAGAAAACAAGGAGACAACGTGGCAGACGGATGACGGCTTGGCAGGCTGTCTCTTCGACCAGTGGTAGCAGTTGTTCGCCAGAGACATAACATGTCATGTACCACAGCGAGAGATCTCATTCGCACAATCGTGATGGAGGGGCAAATTTGGCCTCATGATCAGATGCATATTCGAGTAATCATGTCATTTTTATCGTAGGTGGGTGACCGATGCTAGTCGAATCCCAGCCTCATCATCTCTGTGCTATATCTACTAGGTATGTGTATCTCCTTGATCTGGTGGAGGGCTACCATAGGTACGGAAGGCGAGAGTGACAAGAGAGTCTACTTGGAACCAAGCCTGTTCTCGATCTTGCTCTTCTCATTGGCCTTCAGCTGAGCCAATTCCTCCTTGCTGGAATCGAAGCGGGCGTTGACCTGGTTGAAAGGGTTCTCGGGGCTCTTCTCAAACTCCTTTCGGATCTTGTCCTTCCTCTGCTGGAGACGCAGACCCTTACCCGAGCCGTCCTCGTCCATCTCGGCGAGTCGGCGCTCCTCAAAGGCTGCGTAGGCGGCCTTGAAGCGTCTCTCGGGGTGTCTGTCAACCTTGGCATCGGAGGAGCCTGTGAGCGACAGAGCATCAAGGGCGTTGTCAATGCCCGAAGCGTTAAGGGCGGCAAGGGAGCCGCTGGGCTTGTCGTCCAACTGCGACAGGTCGAGTCCGCGGGTCTTCTTGACAGCCGTTTTGGCGTTCTTAGGCGCGGATCGCCCCGGTGTGTTTGCCTCCTCCTCTTTCAACGCGGCTTCACGCTCAGCCTTCTTGCGGGCTGCCTCGGCCTTTTTGGCGGCTTCCGCCTCCCTGGGATCAAACAGCGTGTCAGCCAATGTCCTGTGCCATGTGTTTCTTTCCTTGTTCTTTGCGGGGTAACAGAGATCCGGCGTGTTTTGGGACAGTATGCATGAAGTGTGACGGTCCTGGGCGACGGTGTTGGCTGCGGGATTCGGAAGCCGCGTTCGCGCCCGCATACACTTTGCTCCCCGTGTGGAGGGTGCGTCAGACACACTCACTTCTTTGCGTTGCTCTTGGAGCCCTTGGACCATTCGGCATCCTCAGCGGCTGCCTTCTTCGCATCCTCGGCAGCAGACTTTTGGGCTGCAGCCTCGGCCTTGCGGGCGTTTCCCGCGGCCTTCTTGCTGTTCTCACCGGCTCCCTTCTTGCCGGCCATAACTATGACTGTATGTAGAGTGTGTATCGCGGGTAAGGATACAGTGATGGTGGTGGTGGTGGTGGTGGTGGAAGTGGTGCGATGCGATGCGATGCGACGCGTTGCTATGCTAGGATGTGTATGGTATGTAGCTTGTGTCCGGGTGCGTAGTTCGTGGCTGGCGCCTGTTGGTGCGTCGAGGCAATCTCGTGTGCGGTGGGCAGTTTGTGCGACCCGGGGAAGTGGTCGGATGGGAGAAAAGAGGGACAGGTTGGATCCGTTGTTGCCTCCTCCACGGCTGAGGTGTGGTACAATGCGAAATGTAGCAATGTAGGTCGTGACTAGGTTGAGCGGAGCGGAGCTGGCGCGGCGTTGAATCCGGCAAAAAGTAGCTTGTCGTCAGGGATGAGTGAAGTTGGGAGAAAAAAAGAAACTGTCACAAAGGGCCAAACGGGGAGGACAGTGCCAGTCGTCGGTGTTGGTGTCGGCGTCTCGGTGTCGGAGGAGCGATGTAACAGAAGGCAACTTGGGTAGGCACTGTACAATAGGCAGCCAAGCGGATGGCGGCCTTCCCTTCCAGTGACTTGCCTGCTGCCGTGCTCTGTGATCTGAGAAGGGGCTTGCTTGCCCCCGCTAAGACGGGCAAGCAGATTCCGATAACTCGGCAGCAGCCAACGCGGCTTCCATTGCTTCCACCGAGTGTCACAAGCCAAAACATGGCTACCTCCAGCTGGCTATGGCGTGAATTCCAACGTGTTTCCCGTCAGCCAACAGCACACGGATCTGGTAGGTTATTCGGGGCTGGAGGTTGAAACCGAGATACAGTGTCGGTGTTTGTGCCACACACCGTACGGGCGACAGTGGACCCCGAGGGCGAGGGACGGGACGGGATGGGATGGGAATGAGACCTAATTAACGGATAACACCACGACCTTAACCCAGCTAATGAAAGCCAGCTGTGATCTGTGGATACCTACCTTACGGTACGGCACGGTACCTTAGGTAGGTAGGTCAGTGTGAGCAACAACGTGCGCCACACTTCCCATTGTAGCTCCGAGACCCATCCCGTGCTTCACTTCCCAAGTCATCGACGGCTCCATGTTTTGTGCTTCCGTCGATACCGAAAGACAACCAAAGCACGACATTCGATAGCTCCAGGCGGTTTGCCTGGCGCAGCAGCTAATTAACTAGCAAGCAAGCAAAGCCTCGAGCACGACCTGAAGGGTTGGGGTAGGCCAGCATGATGGCATGGGATGACGGGAGCCACTAAGCCGGCCCCCCCGCGACTCGGAATGCTCTTCCGCCGCTATGCCATTGGAACGGCGCCATTGCATTCTCTTTCCGCAGCCCCCGAGGTTGCCCGGCCGGACAGCCCAGCCCACCGCAGATCTGGCCCTTGTTTTCTCGGTGCCGTCTTCGTCCATTCTGTCACTCCCCGACTACACTCGACCCATACATACCTGAGATCAATATCACCATTCCATGTCGTGGCCGCCATCATATCGATGCAAGTCTTGCCTGCGCCGCCCTCCTGAGGCTGCCGTCGCACAACATGTACCCTCGACTTGATCGCAAT